GTCATTGCTTTTTCTTAGAATTTGATGATTTCGTTGTATTGGTAGTAGTTTATTTGTTGATTTAATAATGGCAACTGAGAGGGGTGATTTACTTCAATCCAATAGTGTCGGAATAAATGGTAAAATTACTCATATTGGAGCATTTTGACGAGGGACTTTGTAAAAGGAAAAAAAGATTGTAGGGTTATGTTAGTAGAGCTGTTGTGAAACTCGAGAACATTGATAAGAGTTATGTAACAAAGTTAGATAATTGGGAGTCAAGCAATGCAAAAATTCTTTCTTGAATTCATAATTCTATTGAGCAATCCATTGGTACACAGTCAGAAAATGAAGTTTGGGAGCACTCTAAGAAGTTATTCAATAAGTCTAACTTTGCAAAACGATATCAGTTGGAGATTGATATTCGGGCCTTACGTCAGAAGGATATGAGTATTCTTGAGTTTTACGCCGAAATCAAAAAGATTGAAAATATGTAAGGAATATATCACTTTTATAGAGTAGTAGTGATTTCAATTTTTTATGGCACTTCGCAGTGATTTTGAAGGACTTAGAGGCTCTATCTTACATCACACTCCTTTTTCCTCAGTTGATTCAGTGGTTGGTGAACTTATAGCTGAGGAAACACGTTTGAAATCTATTGCAGGATAAGTATCTCTTCTTCCATCTAGCACCTTAATGTTGGTTGTACCCTCTCAATCGTCTACACAGAATTAGAACAAAGGTTATGTGTGAGTTACTAGTGATGAGTGTAACTTTTGCAAACAAAAAGGACATTGGAAGTCTCAATGTCTTAAACTATTGAAGAAGTAGCAACCCCAACCACATTAGTGATCCGATCATCCCAATGCTAACATAACTGTCACCATGCTACCTAGTGATTTTTCTATACTTAGAGCAACATCTTCCTCCAATCCCATGTTGACGGCTTTAGCAAAGCAGTTTTAGAAGTTCTTAGCCACAAAGCCACATGCTTGTCAGCATTCGCTCATATATGTTTGACATCTCTACATCTCTCATGTATTTATTCCTCATGGATCTTTGACTCAGGGGCTTTCAAACACATGTCGTCTAACTCAAATTTCTTTAATAACTTGCGTCCTTCTAACCCGTCTAATTCTATTATGACTATTAATGGCAGCCATTGCCTTTTGTAGGTGTAGGTTTGTCAATGCACATAATTTATCACTTTAGATGTTTATTGTGTTTCCAGTTCTTACTTTGAATCTTATTTCTATTAGCCAATTGTGTGATTCTGGATACTTAATTCAGCTTTATTCTACTGCTTGTCATGTGCAGGATCCTCGATCTCAAAATCTGATTGGAATGGGTCGTAGACAAAGAGGGTTATATGTTCTAGATAATCTAAGACCACCACATGTTGCAACCTCTGGTAAAAAGGTAAAAAGATATGAGTATTTATGATATACAACGTTCATATGTGCATCCTAAAGATGTTTTTTATAATATACAATGCATATCCTAACATGCAAACTTTGTTGTAGTGAATATTTAAAAATATATAATGTTATTCATAATCAACGATTATAGTAGTTAATCCTATATGATAACTTATTTTTAAGACATTATTTTTCTATAATTCTATTGCCTCAAATAATAAGTCGTCACATAAAATGACTATTGTCATCATTGACTATAAATAGTATTACAAAACTTATACTTTGTTGGGTCAAAAACACTATTGGTCATCATCTATATAAAAAATCCCAAATATCTTAAACTATTTGTAGTTGTTGTTTGTAACGCTCCAAATTCTTGCAACTCGACGTGTTACCAAACATAAATTTCTTAAAATGCTTAAATCAAGTAAATTTAATATAACCAGAAATTCAAAAAAATGACAAGTTTATATATATTGAAATCATATCATGTATCAAAATATTGATAAAAACTAGTTTTAAACATACGATTGAAATGGAACTAATTGGCATAATAATATTAAATTTTAATTTTTCTAAAGATTAAAGTACTTCATGAGAAGGATCCGTTGGTCCAATAGCATATACATCCACCGTCATCCAACATGCTAATTTTTATTTGATATTTGTAAATAAGGAGAGAAGAGTGTAACGAATCATATTCAATGAGATGCTTGCTACTTCAAATTTAAATCAAACATGAGATTATGCATAAATTCTACTACCAAAATAAAATGAGAATTATCACACCATGAAAAATGATAATTCTAACAAGCGTTGCAAAATAACATGAAGGCAAACTTATACCCATAGGTATGTCCTAAGATATATCAAGATTTCCCTTGAATGAGCCTTGAATTAAAGTAATTAAATTCATACATAACAACGTATTTAAAAAGATGTGAAAAAATCACCAGTAGCACTGAGCATCTCATATTTCGAAGATGAATGTGGAGACCAAAATTGTAGAAAATAATATCCTTTATTGCACAATTCAAAGACTTAACAATATCTATAATATATTAAATATCACATCAAGTGAAAATCTTTTTTGGATTATTTTAACCCTACTATAATTCAATTATTTCAATAATATCTTACTTTTCATTTTTCAATATGTAATAAATACTACAAAATCATTGTCATGTATGAAATTCATATTATTAATTATCAATTAATTAATTTTCACATTAATCTAGATTCAATGAACCTTAACTTGATAAATATTGATCTACATGGATAGAGTTATTTTAGATACATTTATTTCTAATCATATATCTAGGAATTTAATAGGCATTGAAATTCATGTATTAGATATTAATTCTTACATACCAAATGTAGTCTAATAAGGTTGCTCATTTATAGTATTTCACTATCACCAAAAAATTGAATAATAGAAATTGAGTTTTGAGAATACAATTTTATTCTCTTAAATTTCTATTCTAAATTTTATTTTCTTGAGTTTATTTGAGACTTATTAAATCCTCTTAACAATGTGGTATAAAATATTGCATTTATTGTACTTATAAAGTATTTTATAATAACGTGCAATGTACATTCAACTTTAACTAGTATAAAAAATAGAGTAAATTTAACTAATGCTCATCTTTCACGGGTTACTCACTCATTTTTTCATATAGTTACTCATCTACCACTCGTCTCTTCAAATAATTGGACGACTTTTGCGGCAACTTTTCGACAACCAAGAATGTCGAATTTTGTTACCGTTAGAAAGCCCACGATAACCTCTTCAATTACCATCCAAAATCTCCCTATAACTCCAAGGGATTCGATCGAAAAATTGCCTTAAAAGTCGTCCATAAAATTCTAAAAATCTGCCCACAAAATCTGACTTTGTGGGTTTATCCTTCGGAGTTATGGAGAAATTTTGGGTGGTAATTGAAGAGGACATTGTAAGCTTTCCAATGGTATCCAAATTCGACAGTTTTGATGGTCGGAAGTTGTCGAAAAATTGCCTTAAAAGTCGTCCAAAAAATCTGAAAATCTGCAGAGATTTTCAGAATTTTTCGACGACTTTTAAGGCAATTTTTCGATCGAATCCCTTGAAGTTATAGGGAGATTTTGGGTGGTAATTGAAGAGGACATTGTGGGCTTTCTAAATGGTATCAAAATTTGACACTCTTGGTGGTCGGAAGTTGTCAAAAAGTTGCAGCAAAAGTCGCCCAATTATTTGAAGAGATGAGTGGTGGATGAGTAACTATATTGAAAGATGAGTGAGTATTCATTAATCCGTGAAAAATGAGTGAGCAAGTAGTAACCAGGTTTAAAGTTCAGTGAGCATTACTTAAATTTACTAAGAAAAATTATAGAGAGAGAGAGAGAGAATGGCTACTGAGTAATTTGTGGCAAACATATGTGCATGGCGTTGGTATTTATAGGTAAACTTAGGATAGATTAATGAGGATTAGGATTATATAATAACCATTTAGTTATTATCCTAGATTATGTAGATAATAACTAATTAGTTAGGGTCTGTTTGATTGCGAAGATGGAATTTGGGTGGAAAGAAAATGAATTTAAGATAATTGAATTACCTAGAAATTGTTTTTCTGGGAATTGTTAATTATTGTGTTTGATTGGTATAATTTTTCACGTGAAAAATGTTGAAGTAAAAGTATTTTTTTGTGTTCGTTTGACTTTGTTTTACATGAAAATTGTCAATTTAAGAGATATCAACTTCTACCATTGTTCCTAAAATTTATTTCCATTGCCAACCAAAAAAAAAAAGATCAAAAAATCATCTAGATATTGGTATTCGTTTGGCTTTATTTTACATGAAAATTGTCAATTTCAGGGATATCCTCTTTTACAATTGTTCCTAAAATTTGTTCTCATTGCCAACAATTAAAAAAAATGTGGAAAACCAAAAATCACCTACCCTTAAGAAAATAAAAGGTGGAAAATCACGCTTTAAGGTGTTGTACCTAGAAATTCATGGAAAATCAATTCCCTGGAAAATTTTGTCAATCAAACAAGTCAAAGTGGAAGTTGAAATTCGAATTCCAAATTCTATGAAAAATTTCGTTCAATCAAACGAGGCCTTAATTCAATTGTATTAAATATCAAATATATACAATACTCGTATCAAAATATGAATGGTTTTTCTAAATTAATTAATAATTAAATTCTAATTAAACCACAAATTTCAATTCTAGTTCAATTGAATAACTGTGTGGTGATAATCCTAATTAATTTAAGATAAATATAATGTATTCATATCATCATCTTTCAAAATATCCTAGTCAAATTGATAACTTTGAATGAATTTGTGATAATTAATATCAATATCTTGGTCAAATTGAATAACTTTAATTGGATTTGTAATAATTAATATTAACATTCTAGCCAAATTGAATAATTATCACCTTAAGTGAATTTATAATGATTAATATCATTAAACATGTTTATAACTATTTTTTTTTTCAAAAACTGTGATGAAGGAAAGCAAATATGTATACTATTTTATTTACAATTTATTTATTTCCACTTTGATCGCTCAACTATTAAGAAAAATTCATATAGATGCAAATTAACTAATAGACATGACTTGCATAAAGGATTACTACACATTCCAATTATATGCAACGGAACTACTAAAATTGAGGGTTGTACATTGCTTGTTGGCCGCTGTAATCGATTTGTAGAAAGTGTTGTCCTTCAATTAAGCTAATTGTAATTTTGTACACATTTGTTGACGGATGGGCATGATTCTGCTGTTCTTTTATTGCCAAAGTTCTCACGTCAACTCCCATCCCCCACCTACTCACAGGCGTACACGCAATTGCACTCACATGGACAGTAACGGAACAACCTGCGAAGAAAGTGTTTCGATAGACAGTAGAATCAAAATCCAGAAATAGTATTGAAGCCGTTGACCAAATGGCATACTGTCTGAAACTCCAGCCTCCTCTGGGCCACCATTTTAAGGCCGTTTCAACTTCCAAGAAGTCGAATCAAATTTTGAAGTTCAGAATTAACAGTTGTGCAGTCGAACCCGAAAATGTCCATAAGGTACTTGATCAAATGTCCCTGTGAGGCAAACTGTATAGCAGCATTTCTTACATACAAGATGTGGAACACGGGTTCTAATCAAGTTGAAATGCGATATTTTGGATTCAAAATTTGTGTCTTTGAACTGGTCTATCTTCTTTTTTTATTTTTTCCCGGTTTATTGTTGTTTGATTGCTAACCATTACCTGGCTAAGAAGAAAGAGATGTTTAAATTTGAAATCCAGTGGATTTTATTTGTCTTTATGTGTGAGAAGCATTAGGTGTGCAGCATAGGCTTGTTGGTTGCTAAGCAAGCACAATTGCAACAATGAAGTCTGTGTTAATTGAAGCTTTTTGGATCTTGTGGCATTGGTTTCTTTGTTAACAATGTTTTTTATTAATTGAACAATAATGTCTGTTTCACATCAGCATATCATGTTTTTCGTTGGCAAGAGCAAGGGGGAGGAAAAATACTATTCGTATGGAGGAAGAGTTTAGAATACCTCATTCCTTGGTTCCGGACAATTTGACATCCTGCACGTAATCGCAAAGACCTCGATTTTCATATATCATAAAATGACTTAAGGAAGTACTAACAGATTGAAAATAATGTTGCATATTCCAAGGTGGGAAGAAGAATTTCTTTGACTCTATAGAGGATCATGTTGTCTCCAGAAGTGATGTTTAGGTTCGATTATCAACAAAGAAAGAGGAATTGAAGAGGATGTAATGCATAGGACTAGAGAAAGTTGATGAAATGGAGAAGTGTTGCAGCAATTTTGTGTGATAAGAAGATCCCTAAAGGTCAAAGGGCCAGTTGTACAAGACACTGATTTAGACCTTATACACTTTACACTTTGTTAAAGGAAAAATTAAGGATGGTCGACTTAGGTGGTTGGGACATGATGTACATAGACCTAAAGATGTTTGAGTTGTATGAGTAACACGGTCTTAGTAAAACAAGTCAGTATGCTATAATCAAAATCAAGAAATTCTCCCCAATCTATATTTTGCAATATTATTTAATTATAGTAAAGATGCTTTATGAAGTGAGTTAATTGTGCTAGGTATAGATAACTGAGCTAACTCCAGACTGTAAGAATTAGAGAGAGCAGTTTTTATTTGCAATCTGTGTGTTTGGAGTTGAACATGCAAAGGGATCTCTAGTTCTCTACAAATAGTAATTAAATAAATGAAGGAGGAATGTGCAGGTAACTGACTTGATTTAAAGGTAAAATATCAGAACACGAATAATTAAATAAAGATGAAAAAGCTACAAATATGTAGAAATCTTTCAGATGAGAAGCCTTCATAGACATTCTTCTGAAGTTGTCTTCTACCTCATTGCTTATGTAATTCTTAAAAAATGATACTTTTATGCATGCTTTTATAAAATCGAATGGTTTGCCATAATTTCAAATGCTGTAGTTAGTGGTGGAAGTCAGAGAAAAGCTTGAAAAGGAACATAATACGCTCCCAGTGGGAAAAAATGGAAGAGACGATGAAGACATGATACTTTGGTTTCTGAAGGACAGAAACTTTTCTGTTGAAGATGCTGTCCCCAAATTGACCAAAGCCATTGTAATCATGATTACTTTTTGTATCTTATTTTATAATTTATTATTAACAGAAATTGAACCTCCCTGCTGGTGAGCAAGGAGGCAACTTCACAGACCTAATGCATCTGTTCCCTTTTTTTTTTTTTTTCCTCCATCTATAGAGGTGGCGTCATGAAGTTGGCGTGTCCGAATTGTCAGAAGAATCAGTCAAAAGCGTAGCGGAAACTGGAAAAGCCTATGTGCATGACTTTCTCGATATATATGGCAGACCAGTTCTAATAGTGGAAGCATCCAAACATTTTCCTGGGGTAGGTCTAATCTGTGGACTGTCTTCTATCTCCTTACTGTCAAACTCTCCATCATTATTGCAATGTAGATTGAGAAAGTTAAAAGTTGTGCAGAAAACATTTTTCTTTAAAAAAAATCAGAATAAATATTCTTCAGAAGGAGACTCCTTTCCTTTGCAAAGTATTTGCATTCTTTTTTCTGTTTTGAAATTTTACATCTAGCCTTAAATTTTATCTAAGAATTTAAAACCTGGGTATGATGATAAAGCCTGGGTATTATGGTATTCATCATATTTGTTTATGCAGAAGCACAAACATTCTGAAGATGAAATGCTCAGTGCATTTCTGATCGAGAAGGCTCTTAGCAAACTTCCAGATGGGAAGCAGGAAATACTTGGAATAATTGATCTACGAGGATTTCGGACACAAAATACAGATATTAAGTTCTTAACATTTATGGTAATTCCCACTAACTGTTAGCTGGAAAACTTTCCTACAGTTCCTTGCTTCATCATTCTTGTGTAATGTTATGATGAGCAGTAGAAATTAATAAAATTTGAATAGGCATTATTGTAATTCTTTGTCCCTCTTATTTTCATTTTCATTGATTTATTATCAATGCATCGTAACACCATTAGTTCTATGTTGATTGCATTTCTTATTTTTTTCTAAAATTTATTTGTGATAATGAATGCCATTAGATTTTCTGGAGAGTATAGGCCACCATCAGCTGATAATTTCTTTTGTATTTTTTTCCTGGTTGAAATTTCTTTACAATACTGATTAATTATTTCTTCGCCATTCTTTTGAAAGTTGAATACAATGGCAAAATTACCTGCCAACAGAAGCATGTTTGGCTAAGCTTATTGTTAAAAATAATATATTTTTATCAAAGTTGGAATACTGAGTTATTTTATAATTAAGATATGAGTTACTTTCAAAAAGTGACTTTTTTCACTTAAAAGTAAGAAAAAAGTAACATGTAAACCATAAGTTACTTAAAAGAAACTTATAGTTTGAACTACCCTATGTCCATGTTGAACAGATTGATGCATTCTACTGCTACTATCCAAGGCGGTTAAGTCAAGTCCTTTTCGTTGAAGCTCCCTTTGTATTCCAGCCGGTGTGGCAGCTGGTTAAACCCTTGTTAAGATCGTCTTCCCCTCTGGTAAGCTTTTCTTAATCTACTCAGAATTTATAATTTCCCAAAAGCATTTTAGTTCTATCAGTTGATTATCTATCGATTTAATACAATGTATCACTTCTCCAATCCATGATAAGCTGTGTCGTGGAATTGCTGATGACATCACCAGTTGTACAGTTGCTTTATCGATTTCACATTTCTTGTCTGCTAATTACCTCTGTGCCTTAGCTTATGTGGGCATACCCCATGAACGAATCGGAAGGAAAATACATGGACCAACCCATCATCTCCACTTGTATGAACGATGAGATCCCCCCACAACGAATTCTTTCTTAGGAAGGGCAGAAAGTACTTGAGGATTTGTGGGATATCGTGTCCCCCAAGTTAGTTTCCAAGTGCCCCCTAGGAAGGCAGTCCAGTATACTCGTGGACTTGCTAATCTTTTGTGTACTTAGTTCCAAGTTAGCTCTTCCTGTTTAATTCGTCGACTCTTAGATGCTCGATACATGGCTTCGATTCTTGATCAAAAAAACCTCTCTTAGCCTCTTCCATGAAAATATGTGGTTAATTATCCTAGGTTGCAAACTCTCCCTCTTCAACAAGTAGCTTGCTTTTGTTTCTTATCATTCTCAAATTGGGTTATTGATACATGAAAAGAATGGTTCCGTATCCTCATCTCAAAAAAATTTCAGTTAAAAATTGCATGTAGCTCTGATTTTCAGCTCTTGTGCCCTTTTTATGCTCTTAATTTATGGTCTTTCATGTATGATTTGCAGGTGAGATTTTGCTCAGTAGAAACCGTTAGAGAGGAGTATTTTACAGATGATACTCTTCCAGCCAAGTTTAGGAGCTGAAGGCCTTCTCCACAGGCTCGATGGTTCTGCAAATTGTTTATGCTGGTGTTTGGTAACATTGACTAAAGCGGATCAATATTATAGAACAAAAAGAAGTTAAAATTGTGCTGTCTGTGTAAATGGTTTACATATGTTTGTGCTTTCCTCCACAGTTTGGGGGCTGCTGGTCCGTATATTCTCTGCTTTATATAAGTATTTATGGCTAGATTTTATGGGGCCACAAATGAATTGTTTTTAATGTCTTCTTTAATCTAGTTGTGGCTAGCAGCTGAAATGGACATTTAGGGGTAAACCACTGTTTTGAGTGCAGGTCAAGAGAACGGTACCAAATGAAGGCAAATTCTATAAAGACTAGACATGGCATTAAAAACAGGATAAGGTCTACATATATAAGTTTTAACTCGTGATTTTCGTTGAATCTTAAATCGGAGCAATTAGATCATAAACTAGGTTTGAGTTAATAAATTCTACTTAGATGTAAATTGAGTCTAGTCGTATTCACATCTGAACATGTGCAGTGAATGACTCGATCCATTTTCAATACAGGCTTGACCCAATGTGGATTATGTTGCGACGTAGTTTAGAAAAACCTCTAGTGCCAAATATTCGTGGTGGGCAATTATTAGTCGAGGGAACTTTAATTTTTTTCAATTTTTTTATAAAAAAATATCGATTTATATGCTTGTTTCAACCAATATAAATTGAGCCATGTTGACCCGCAAAAATTTTGATGCATTAAGAGTGGGTAAATTTCACGTACGATAACTAAACTTTGGACTTACATTATGAACTTTAATTTCGGATCAATCACACTACAGTAATTTAATTTGCAATTAGGTTACTCGTTAGCCTTCTGTCCCCCACTTAACAAACATGGTGCCGTTGTATCTCACTAAAATTTTACAAAGGACTTTGCTTGATGTACATAATTTTTGTCCATAAGGATATCTATACATCTCATCTCACTAAAATTTTACAAAGGACTTTGCTTGACCCACCTCATGTGGGTCCCAACTCATATAAGAGGTATGAACATCTTTATGAACAAAAATTATGTACATCTAGAATTTTCCTTTTGTGGTTCCCACCTTATGTGAGAGGTATAGACATCCTTATGAACAAAAATTATATACATCTAGAATTTTCCTTTTACAAAATAGAAGTTGTAGGATGGCCAAGTCAAGTCAATCTAGTTGGAGTCTGACCAAGCACCCAGACGTGGCCATTGAAGGAGTGTTGGGCTTGGGTGCTTCCGTACTGCGCAAGCAAGCTCATGAGAGCTCAGCCCCTGAGCAGCCCAACACGTTCCGCCACGAGCTCATCCCATTTTTCCTATTTGATTATACTCGATTTTCATATTTTTTTTTCAAAATTTATCTCAAATAAAAAATTTCAAGTCGAGTTGGCTTGGCTTATCACGAAGAAGGCACATGATTGCTCCTATCTCATGGAAAACTATTTTCGCTCTACTTAGCCTTATCCCCCCCCCCCCCCCCCCCCCCCCCCCCCCCCCCCCCCACCCCCCCCACAACAC